AGATTGCTCCTTTCTTCTTTAAATTGTATTTAGTGATTGCTCCTTTCTTCTTTAAATTCTATTTAGTGATTGCTCCTTTCTTCTTTAAATTGTATTTAGTGATTGCTCCTTTCTTCTTTAAATTCTATTTAGTGATTGCTCCTTTCTTCTTAAAATTCTATTAAGTGAACCAAGTTTTTCATTCAAACAGATTTGTCTGCGACTTGTATCAAAGCCTAAAACTCTTCGCGAAGATTGAAAACTGGAAGTGCATGTACCAAACAGGGAGAAAGAAAAAAAGGCGGGCTGGTGTCAATTGGGGCACTCGTCAAAGTCTCTGCAGTTTATGACCATGGGAATAAGAACATGGACAGAAAGAAAGAAACCAACTTTGGAGGAGAAAATGTAATTACACCCCTTCTCCCATAAAAAAGAATAAACAAAATAAAAAACAATAACAACAACACCAGTGACAATTACTTAATGAAAACAACAACAACAACAACAACAACAACAATAACAACAACAACAACAACAACAACAACAACAACAACAAAACACCCAACACGAGACTACAGCGTCATCAAAAATATAAATCACAAATATAATATATTATTACAAGGTGAAATTATTATGAATTTTCGGTCTGGATTTTACGGAAAATCGCTGATCTGTTATTTACTTTTATAATAATTTCCTCTTGAGTTTTTAGATGTTAGAAAGGGGGGGGGGGGCTAGGTCGGTGGCTTCTCTTAAGTCTTGTTGATGTTGTTATTCTTTATTTTGGAGGTCCTTGAGGAAATGTGCCGATTCCAAGGACATGCAAGCTATTTTAAGGTATGAAGACTTCACTACTGTGGGGTTGTTGGTCCGCTGCCAACTTCTTGTCGGGGTGGGTTTGTTCATTCGGTGATTGGGAATATAATGTACTAACACGCCCGTACACACTGACAGACAGACAGGCAGGCAGACAGACAGACAGACAGACAGACAAACACATACATACATATACACAGACACACACACACACACACACACACACACACACACACAAGCACAAACATGCGCGCGCGCACACACTACGCTGGTCTACACCAACAGTCACAGTGGGGGGGACCGTAGTATGTTTGTATAGCAGCTTGGCCAACAGCTATGGCTGTTAGAATAAAAAAATACACGTATATACATGTAGTACATTCCTGTTTGATCTGTGCTGGCAGTGGAGAGTGCAGACTTCCTTTTACTTTGTGGTGTCGGTAGTCTAGTGGTTAGGCTACAGGACTCGTAATCGTGAGGTTGTTAGTGGCCTAGTGGTTAGGCTACCAGACTGGTAATCGTGAGGTTGCGGGTTCGAGGGTTCGAGCCGCGGGCCCGAGCATTGTGTCCTTGAGAAAGGCACTTTACACGAATTTTCCTCACCTCACCCAGGTGTGAATGGGTACCCGGCCATAGACAGCGAAAGATCATGTCAGTATGTTAGTTTTTTTAGCGCCTATAAATGGCTGCTGGCACTGTACGCTTCCCATGAAGTTGCGTTTGTTTCAGAATGCTCTCAGGTCTGCTGGGGTAATAGTATAGATCGTGAAGCACAGAGCTTGCTGTTGAGCGGGGATTTGCGCTATACAAATGTTATCTATTATTACTTTTACTTTGTCCGGCCTTACTCTATTGGGGGG